AACCTAGCAGTTCGAAAGCAAGACATTGCAAGTAGGTAAATAGGTACCACTTCGGTGGGAAGGGAACAGTGTTCCGTGCGCCTTGCTGTTTAGTCATGCCGGCCACGTGACCACGGAAACATCTTCGGACAGCGCTGGCTCTTCAGCTTTGATACGGAGATGAGCACCGCAACCCTAGAGTCGGATTCGACTGGCTTTCGAGCAAGGGAACCTTTACCTTTTTACAGTGCAGGTGGTAAGTTTGGGGGCAGCCCAGGAGGGAGGGGGCCCAGAGGAAACACTAGGGGGGCTGGGCCCCCTGGGCCCCCTGTTAGCTACAGGCCAGTCTCCTAGTAGGCAGGAGGCGAACTCTCCGAATACGCCGCGGACAAACCTCGGCCTCAGCGGTGAACGCGGAGGAGCAGGCGCGCAAAGGGCGTTACGTGACGGCTCGCGTGTGCCTTGCACAGGTCCAGTGCGCTGGCCATGGCCAGTTTTCAGCGGGCCATCGGTCGCTCAAGCCAATCAGGCTGTCAGCTGGACAGAGTCCACTGTTTTCTCCAGAGGGACTGATCTCTGCTACCTGAAGAGCATTTGTATGTTTGAGTTATCTGTAGCCCTCACCTGGAGAGTGGTAACCATTGTTACCCATTCTCCTCTCCCCTATGAGGTATGTTATGCAACTGAAAACCCCAACTGCCTTGCGGGGGGGGGGAGTTTGAGGTGTGGAATGGACTGAAGTCCAATCAGCTTCCATATGCAGGCAAAAATGTGTGAGCCGGAGGCTAACAAACTGTGAGCTGGCACACACACTAACTCAGCTCGGAGGGGGCACTGCTCAGGAGCAACGCTCCCTCCCAGCTGTGCAGTCCTGTGAGCGAAAATCCTACTTGGCGAGCTCCTAGCATTAAAGCTGTGAGCCAGCAATTTGGCTACTGTGTAAATTAGTTTGCTCTGGAGCCCTCCTTCCCGAGCGAAGGCAAAAATGTGTGAGCCGGAGGCTAAAAAACTGTGAGCTAGCTCACACTGACTCAGCGTAGAGGGAACACGGGTCCTGGGCTCCTTGGAGGAAGGGAAGTGTGATAGATGTACTCCCACTTAATAATGTACTCATTTTATCAGATCAAACTCTGGAAAAAAAGTATGCCCCCGGTCACACGGCAGAGTTGCCGCAGGAGAAGCACAGAAGGTGGGTGGATTATCTGGGTGCAATCACACCCCAACATCTGGGAAGTGGAGTGCACCCGTGGCTTACCACCGACAATGCGCATTTAAAAACTCGTACCTCCAAGGCACTAGTAAACGTTTGCCACGGGCTGCCTCCAAACGCCCCTGGTGTGATCGTGCCAGCGTGCGGCATTCCCCTCCGGTCTCTCGTTTACCCACCGGCGCCAAGGGAAGACCCGTGGTGTGCTGCCGGCACGTCTGATCGTGTAATTGCGGATCAAACTGCGCCGGGGCAATTAGCCACACCTCAACCCCCCCCTTCCGCAATATCCGGCCGCGGGGCCTTTGTACGTTTATGCCTCCCTTGAGTCTTCTATATCTAAATCTCAGAACAAAGCAGAGTCTTCAAAATGACTGACGTTTTGCTTCTTGCTGCTCAGCTGCTGGTATAAAACCCTAGATGCTTTGGTTAAATTTATTGCAATCCTGTTTTTTTTTTTTTTTAAAGTATTTGTGATTTTGATGATTTCCAACAGCACATGTTGCAAGTCTGTATGAATGAAAGAAATGAGTTATGTATCAAGTAGCTGCAGATACACAAGACTTGGCACAGCCTCTGTTGGACAGAGACAAATGGCATTAGAAAGACTTCTACTGGTATGTAGTCTTGGGTGATAACAGTCTGAGCCAGAGCAAAGGTCAGCAAGGTGGCAGAACTTCATTAAAAAAAGCAGCACGTATGACGGGACTGTTTTTACATGGTAGTCTGTTCTGAACAGCACTGTAGATTTTTTATAATGCTGTGAAGATGGCCCAAATGATCCTTTTTAAATTTAAGCTGTAGCGTGATAACTGACTCCAGTGAAAATATTTTATCGAACAAGTAACATGCTTGTAAAAAACACAACTTTCTTAGAATGCATAGTGCAACACTTTTTATGTAAGACAATCTACAGTATTAGGTAGCAAGTCAAGTACATACGCTAGACTTCTACAACATTTTTCATGCTTAAAAGTCCACAGTTAATATGTTCTAATGTGTATTGAAGGGTTTGATGCTTACATTGCTGCAGTTTAACCTGATATGTAGATCTACTGTTAATTTTATCATGTCTGTATGAGACTGTTCTGCCCAAATTTGTTTTCTACAATATTTTCAATTTTATTGTTGTTGCTGTCTCACCTGGCCACCTCTAAAATGTGTGCCTAGTCTAAGGCAATGCAGGGTGTAGCTGTAGTCAGTGTACTGTTTCTCATTTGGTATATTCACACTTTTGTTCGCAGGAAACAAAGATGTTTATATTTTTAAATTCCATACATGTGCCAGATACGAGTTATAAATGATGCATTTTAGGGTGTTTTTTTTTAAGGAACAGGTGCTGCAGGCTTCCTAGCTGGCTCACGGGCTGCAGTTTCTTTCTGCCTTTCCTTCTCCCCTACTCTGCTCTGACTGAACATTACAGTTATGAGCGTTTTTTGTGTAGCATTTGAGGTGTGAAGGTGGTTTCACATGTGAAGCTTATTTACTGTGTAGACACTGAGTGGTAAACACTCATGTATGAAACACAGCTCTCTCTTCATGTTCAGAGCTTTGTTTGAGCCAAGGCTCCTGGAGTGCATATGAAACAACAATATATTTAGAACAGGGGTGGCCAAAGTTGCTCAGCATAAGAGCCACATAGAATAAATGTCAGATGTTTGAGAGCCGCAAGACATGAACAAATATTACATGCACATTTTTATTTTATAATATGCAAATTTGCTTTTTTTGTTAACATTAAATGAGTCTGCCAAAAGTAAAAACAAAAGGGGTAAAAACAGATATTGACAAGAGGCGGGACCCGCGATTCTCGCGCGGGGGGGAACGCTCCACGGGAGAAGCACCCGCAGGTGAGCCTTCTCCCCTGTCTCCCCCCCATCCCCAGAACCCATGGCAAGGCCTGACCTCAGCCCGCCAAGCTTCCCCCTCCCCCAGCAGCGGCGGCGCCTCGCTGGTCTGCCGAACTTCCCTCCCCCAGCGGCGCTTCTCCGGCCGTCCAAGCTTTCCCCCTTCCCCCCTTTC